ACATTTTTTTTTCAAACAGGACAGAACTAATTTTTTTGGCAATTGGAGCAGTACTAATGATCCATCTATATAATTCCTAAGGGAGACGTCATTGTTGCTGGAATGAGTTAGCAGGCATTGCAGTGTGATTTGGTCAAAAGCTTCTCTGGCAACTTTCTAATCATGTGACAGAGTAGGAAAGTTCTTTAATATTGGTCAATAACAAGAGTAATAATGGTGATAAGAATCTTTGTGGCATGAGTCACACTAGATTCTTTATATGCATGATCTTATTTCTCACTACAGTGCAGTACAGATTTTCTTATTATTCTTGTTTTCCAGGTGATTAAAACTGAGTTTCAAGTATACATAGTGACTTTTTTTTTTCAGAATGGGACACAGTTAATGAAAAGAGCTGGCCTAGAACTCAGTTTTAGACACGCAATGCTCTACCCAAAACACACTGATTTCCTACTGCATGTTTATGTTTTATTTCTTTATTGATCGTTCATTCTGTGATAGGAGCTTTCGTGCAGATCACAAAAGACACAAACACAGATAATACAGATGGGACTTACCTACAAGTTGATCATAGTCTCGTTCTTAGTAATACAGTAAGGTCAAGGACTTAAGACATGGAACCCTAGCTAATGTTCACACCTAAGCAGAGTCATTACTAAATTTCGTCGGTTTGTTTCTAGTTATTCTTCTTTTCCCGTAAGGGCCATAGTAAAACCAAAGTGTATTTGGAGTTCTATAAATCCTCTCTATTGTCAAATCTGTAATTCTCTCCATAGTTTCACATATTACAACTTCACATTCAAGCCAGATAGTGGCTTTCGCCTTTAATCCCAGCACTAGGGAGGCAGAGGCAGGTGGATCTTTGTGAGTCAAGGTCAGCCTAGGCTGCATAGTGAGACCCTGTCTCAACAAACAAACAAAACTTCACATTCATATAAATTGTATTACAAATAAAAGTGTAAACCAAATGAGAAATTTCCATGCTAATTTTTTCCCTTGATATGTTTATAAATGTACCTACCTACAAGGGCCTCAGAAGGTCCCCCTCCTTCCCTAAGGATTTACACATAGTTAAGGGTTGCTAGGAGAGGGAAAGATAATTTCCTCAGTGGTGTATCCTCTGGCAAGTTGCTGATGCTCCTCTAAATAACCAATCACCCATGCTCCTGTAAGCAAACCCAATGAAACTCACTGGGTCATGATCCCACAGAAAAAGAGATGGGGGGGTTGGGGGGTTGGGGAGGAGGGACTAGTTGTGAGATATTACTTCCTGATTGTAGGTGGGAAAATTGAGACACATGAAAGTAAGGTAACTTGATCAAGTTCACATATGGACCACAGTATTTTGAGTTTACCTAGTTTGAACTGTAGCCCACCCACCCAGCAGTTCTGAACGATCAGTATAATGCTGTCATTAACAAAACTAACAAAAAAGAGTAAAGCCTTCCTTGAAACACTTCCTCAATAGTAAATCTAACTATGCATCCATCTAACCCTGCCTTTCCACAAAAGTAGAACAGTAGTTTAAACGGCCACGTAGTCCCTTCAGGTCTTCTCAGTTTATGATTTTGGAACACAGCTGTGTTCATTATTATTTACCATATGGATGGGTTTGTTAACCATTTTTAAAGCTTTTATTACATTCTATTTATTTATTTGTTTGTTTGTTTGGTGTATGTGTGTGTGAGTGGGAGTTTGTGGGCCAAGGCATGAGTGTGGAGGTCGGAAGACAAACTGCAGAATTCTGTTCTCTTCTAGCATCTGGCCTGTAGGGATCAAACTCAGGTCATTTACCTATACCTTCTGAGCCACCTCCGCTGGCCCAAGTTGAAAAACTTATTAGCTTTCTTCCTCAAGGCTAAAAAAGAAATCCCTACGTTTTCTATGATTAGAACAAGTATTCAGACCAAGCATGGTCACACACATCTGTAATCTCAGTATATGGGAGGCAAAGGTAGGATGATCAGTAGTTCAAGGTGATCCTCAGCCGTATAATTAATTCTAGACCAGCCTGGCTACATGAGACCCTATGTACAGAAAATGAACAGGTTTTCCCCCACTTGTAACTGTACCTTGTCCTCATCTTTGAAGCAATATTTTGCCAAAGAAAAGAACCACCACAGACAGTATCAAACTTAAAATACATAAACAATTTCCCTCTAGGAGGTTATCATAATTGTCCTGACTGTATTTGTTAATTGTTGATGCCTTCCAGGTTTACACAAGGATTTGTCCATCTGTTTTCCTAGTTTGGATGTGAAATGAATTTGTGAAGGCAGAGTTGTTTCAGCAGCCTCACTTCTCCAGGCAACAGATTATGATGCCATGCAGCCAATTATTATATTACGGCAGAATCTGTTTGGAAGGAGATAGCTGATCCCACCACAGACTAGCTGGAAGAGCAGCAAATGGCAAGATGATAAAATAATAGTGACAGCTAACACTAGCTGAGCACTCACTGTATGTCAGGCACCACTCTAAGCACTCTCTTGTACTGAGTCTTTTATCCTATCGAGTTATTTCCAGTACACTTAGCTTATCAGTAGGGAAAAGGTAAATTTGAAGAGGATGACTCTAAGACCACAAAGCCCTATTCTCCTCCTAAACTCAGTTTCCCTTTCTCTTTGTTTGTACTTACGTACAGCTAATGGGTTCCATGTGAGAGTGCAATGTAAGAGATCAATATTTCAAACCTAAGCAGTTTATCTTCTGAACCCATGCTTTTGTAACTCCTACATTATATTGTACTAAAACGGAAATTGGGAATCAAGAAAATGATGTCAATTTGCAAATGTTTCAAATCATTTGGAACCACAGAATGAACACAGTAAAGAACTAAACATGCATTTTCAAATACTGCAACAGAATATGTCTTCATCTTCTAAAGCTGAAAACAAACACGTCCACCATAGCAAATAAGTCAGCATTTCATGTCACGATCACCCAGAAAAATCAAGCAAGTACCTCTTGATCCTGATCTTTGAGCTTACTTAAAAGCAGAGACATCTCTCTCATTTTTAACATAGTGTTTCTTTTATCACTATGGAAAATGGAATTATTCGAAACTTAAAACACTTCCGTTAGTAACTAGAAAGACACCCAGAAAAAAATAATAAATGTAAGGAGAGGTTTTTAATCCAACACATGCTTGATCAAACACACCCCACATGCCCCAGATCTATATCAGTCCTTTCGAAAACCATGCCTCTGGGATTTCAGAATGGATGTCCCCATAGAGTGCCATTTCATGGACTTTTCCTGTCTCTCTCTCAGAAAGGGAAGTTGAAACAGATGTAGACTGGTCTGGTGAAGGGTTCATTTTGAGGATTGGAGAGATGCCTCGGCTTTTAAGTGCATGTCCTGCTCTGTCAGAGGACTGGAGTTTGATAGCCAGTACCACATCAGGTCCCTCACAACCACCTAGAACTCACAACCCAGGGTTTCCCCACTTTTCTAGCTTCTTCAGGCTTCTGCACTCATATGCACACACACCCCCCCCACACACACACATGCACATAACTTACAAACATATTTTTTTTAAAAACGGAGGAAGTTCTCATCTTCTTCTCTGAATTAGAGATACTTATAAACAAAACTATATTCTCTTTTCATCATGCTGAGAAAATTTTTCCTCCTCTCCTTGCTGCTACCTGTCACTTATCTGAAATTCCCTTTTGAAGAAATATCCATAACCTAAACGTTAACTTAGTTTGTCTCACTGAATGCAAGAGAATGAACTCAAGAGATGGGACCCTACAGGTAAAGCTGGTGAATTGAAAACTAAATAAATTAAAACAATCTAGGCAATAACACAGTGTATCTTTTTCGGGCATTCTAATTTAGTGAATCTGAGAGTCATCCATGAAACTGCACTTCAAACAAGTGTTCCAGGGAATTCTGACTCAGGGAGTTGGGTCAAAAGCCACAAGCCACAGGGCTCTTTACAATGACAAATACACGAGGGACCAGAATGTGTTAGTAAAAGAGAAGGCTGGCACAGCGGGGGCATCTGGAACAGGAGTTTAGCCTACAGGCCCTGGGCCAACAAATGTAGGGAGGCCTTGAAACATTTGTGTAACTGTGAACTTCTGCATGAGGATTAATATCAAGTAATCAATTCCACCCATGTGAAAATTGTGGGTTTTGCTTTTTTTCTGTGTGTCTAGCATACAAAATTACAGCATGGAACTTCATAAGGCCTAGAGACATCTGAGAGGATAAACCTCAAGGAACTGCCTTCATCAAGTTTGTCTGTAGGTAGTCATGTCTGTGAAGGACTGTCTTGATTATTAATCCATGTGGGCAGGCTCAGCCCACTCGAGCCAACACCATTCCTCAGGCAGATGGTTCTGCGCTACGTAAGAAAGCTAGCTAAGCATGAGCCTGTGAAAGAACCAGAGTGTGAGCCAACAAGGGGCATTCCTCCTTTGTTCCTTCCTGTGAGTTTCTGTCCTGACTTCCTTCAGTGATGGACTGTAACCTGTAAGAGGAAATAAACCTTTTCTTATCTTATGTTGCTTTTGGTCAGTGTTCTAGCATAGCAACAGAAAGGAAACTAGAATGCAGACATTAAACTCAAGTCTGGGTATGAAAGAGTCATATAGTATAGAATAGAGGAAAACCAGTGGGGTGGTTTATTGGGTAAAGGTGCTTATTATGCAAGCCTGGTGACCCAAGTTTGATCCCTGGGCCCCACATATGGGAAGAGGGAGAAAAATGACTGCATAAAGCTGTCCTCTGACCTACACACACACACAGACAGACAGAAAGAGATATACATGCACATACAATAATAAAGAGAATAGAATAGAATAAAGGAAGATAGTCATGGAAGGAACCTTCTTAAACAAGAGACAGTGGATTCTAAGAACACCAAAAGGGATAACATTATAATAGTTATTTTATAAGTCATGACTTTTTGTACGTTTTAGTCATTACCTTAAACCAGTCATAAGAAAATAAGTGAATAGTCCTTAAATCATTTATTCTAAATGTCTTACCTTCTTCTTTGCTGGATTCCTGATAGAACCAGTAGGGCAATTGCGACTATGACAATGCAAAATATCACACCAAATACAATAATCCAGATGGGCACAGATGGATCCGTGGGGGGTGCAAGAGTGGAAGGAATTTTTAAAAATTCCAGAGTATGATCATCCAAAAAGAATGCATTGTTGATCCTGTTCCTATTCATTCTAAAAGGCAATGATAATTTAAAAAAAAAAATGAAGACAGAAATAACAGCATTAGAAGCAACGTACACACCTGTCTCTCCACTGATATAAATCAGCACCTTTGAGCTCTGCCCCCACCCCATTTTATTTCTTGAGAAAGAGATCATCTAGATTTGAATAACAGAATTCTATTTAAGGTGGTTTACATAAATACCAGCCATTTCTTTAAAATATTTTTAAAAGTTCTTTTGCATAACTATGCACAATAAGCATTCAAAAGTCAAAAAGTCTGAAGGCATATGAAGGCAAATGTGCTTGTTTTCCTCAGGGCTGGGTAGCAGAGAATCTACATTTTCTGTGTTGGTAAGAGTCAGACAGTCAGGTTGGCAGTGAATATTTGTTTAAAGATTTTGTTTTTGTTTTTAAGACAGGGTTTCTCTGTGTAGCTCTGGCTGTCCTGAAACTCATTCTGTAGATAAGGCTGACCTTGAACTCAGAGCTACACCTTCTTCTGCCTCCCAAGTGCTGGGATTAGAGGTGTGTACCACCACCACCAGGCTCTCGATTTTGTTTGATAATTGGTGTGCTGTATACTTTGAGTGCACCTCGTTTTGATTAGCTGAAACTCAAATGCTTGGTAGGCACATTTGGCTGGCAGCTTCAGGACTTGGCAATCCTAGTCTAAAGCAGTGGCTTGACAATCTCTGCAGCAGCATCTGGCCATTGGAAAGATCTCCATCAGCAAATAAAAACTCTGTGCTGAGGACAGAAGAAGCTGTTCAGTAGTACATCACCAACTCAGCATGTGCAAAACTGAGTTCCATCCCCAGAACCACATTAATTCACAAATCTACGATCAGCCATAACCATTCTTAGATATGAAAGAGAACCCAAGTGGCAAAAGGTTAATTTAAATATAATTTTAGAAAGTTATAGAATGTTTACCTTTTAAAATAATCCAATCTTTTAAACTGTGTGTGTGTGTGTGTGTGTGTGTGTGTGTGTGTGTGTGTGTGTGT